CAACAGTATGGTTTTCCAGAGAAATAATTTGCAAAACCACAGATAATGCTCCCATTTCCTGGTGCAGCCCACCCTTAGCAATAATGTTGCCACGGAAACAGCAAAACTGATCCATCCAGTGAAAGAAAAGGAGTGAGGATGAAAGGGAGATGGGGGCAATTTATAGTTTTTTGGTTTTTGTTTGGTTTTTTTTTTTAATAGATTAACTAGAATTTGTTAGAATAGTTTCGATTTCAGGTTGGTTTATTTTTGGGAAAGGGGGTGTTCCTTGATTTTGGGTTGATTGGTAGGTTGGTTTTTCTGCAACAGGAAAATGGTACCCTTTACCTACATGCCTTCAGAGTTTTTTTTTTTGCGTAGGACAGTAAGCTGAGGTTGAACTCGAACACCCATTATGGAAAAAAACCCTAAGCAATGTGAGCCCAGTTTATGCTTTGGCTCCTGAATAATGTTTTGAAGTAGAAGTATATAGTCCTGCCATTGACAGGAAGTACAGTGCCTTTCAGTAAGTCTTGCAGCTATGGGATGAGCCCCCCTTGAAATCACAGTAGGATGTAACTGTGCTCTGTGTGCGGGTAGATCAGAGAAACAGAGGAATTCAGAATAAGATATGTTAAATGTGTACAAACAAAATACATACAATTGTTTAGGAATTTAGTTTTTAAAATTAAAATAGCTACATACCTCTTAAGAAGGTTAGATAATAATGCCTTTTAGCTTATCCTGAAGTTATCTTGCTTTTCTTTTAACTACTGAGTTAAAAAGTAGTTAAAACTACTGAGTTTGTCTCACATAAAGAAGGCTGGATTAGGCTGATTAATAAATACACGGGTAAGAGATTTCTGATATATGTCCATCTTGTGTTGTGCAAAGAATGCTGATATTTTTCCTTCTTAATTATCAAAAGAAGAAATGTCCCCACGGGGTATTAGAAGTCTTTATATTATAGAAATGCTATGTTTTTATTTGAAGAATTGACCATTTATTAATATTGAAAATTCACCAAGAACATTTACTAAAGCAGATAATTAACACTTGTGTCCATCATATTGCAATATAAGCAATAGCATCCAATTTGCTGATGGCTTAATGTTACATCACACCAACAGTAATTGTTTAGGACTTGTCATAAGGAGGAATGTTAACTATGATGCTCTATGGCTACGTTTTGTGAAGTATTTAAACTCTTAGCAACATCTATATTTATATAGATGACATAGTCAGTGTTTCTTATAACTTTTTAGCTAACCCAAATTCCATTTGGAGGTTTGTTTTGGTCTAAAGTTAAGGTCTTTATCATTTTTTTAAAATTCAGTTTAGTCTGCAAGCAATTTTACTGCTACCAGGCAACAACTCTGAAAATGCAAATATTTCAGCAGAATTTCAACAGTTTCTAGCACTTATTTGTTGTATAGAGTATGTACTTGACCACAGTGTGTTACTGGAATGAGGTATTTTTGCCGACTCTGATTATATGGTTAATATTTCTCTGAATATGATCACAGGAAGTCACATTTTTGCATTCTGGAGAGTTTTTTACTATAGGTTGGGGAACATAGTGGTGGTGTTTCCTCTTTATGGTGGTCACGTCATCCTACCTGGTTTGGTGTGTGTATTGGCAATGTCTCCTATATTTGCAGCAATTTAAAATGATTTAAACCTCAACAAAATATACTTTCTCCCTCTAATCATGCCCCCAGCATAATTTCTTTTCTTACCCTTTGTGATTAATAAAAATTAGTAGCTTCTGAAATACAGGCTGCAGAGGTAGTTTAGATACAGAAGGAAAAAGGCGGCAGCTAAGAATAAGCCCCTAAGAGCTGCTTGGAGGAAGAAAAGGACATGAAACAAGAACTGAATTAGGGTAAGAAGAGTATCCATGAGAAAACAAAGCTGAAAACGACAACAGAAAAAAAAGAAAGAAAGTATTGTCTAAGATGCCAAAATTACCAGTAGTTTGTAAGAAATGCTGTATTTTGTCAGAGGCAGTGTACACCCCCTCACTGTGTATGTATTTCTAGGATTACATATTATTTTTCTCTTACCGACATTGAATTTCCACCTGCCATTTTATTACTGGTCGACAAAGGAATAATTGTTCCATGGCCATTTATTAATCGTGTTGTAGTGTCTGGCTCACAGGCCTGCAAAAAGAAAAAAAAAAGAAAAGAAAAAGGCTCATTTTCAACTTGGGTGAAATTCAACATGCTGACTTAGCATAGGTTGCTAAATAGAAGTTAGAAAAAAATAGTGCTCTGAATGTCTTGCTGTCTTGCAAAATAGTAGCAACAAGCTTGTTTAAGGCAGGCATGGTAAAGTCAGTGTGCAAGGTCCAGACACAGTGCTGGAAATGCAGAAGACATTACAAATGCTCTGGCAACAGCTACAATGAACTAGATTCTAATTTAAGTTGCAGTTTATGCCTATTACAAGTCTCCTAATTTCATTCATTATTTCCTGGAGTTGGATTTGAACCTGCTGCCTGCAGGGCAAAATTATGTACTGTTTCTAGTCCCTGGAACTATAAAAGGCAAGGTTTTGAAATGTTCAAAAGGTTTTGAAATGTTTAAAGGGTTTTGAAATGTTGAGAGTAGTTCTCCTACCCTCGGACTGGAATTGTAAGGGAGGCAGTTTCCTGATCAGACACTGAAATAGGCACTGGATTTCAAGCACTGGGTAACTCAGTGGCTTCTACTTCTCTGCAGTGTCTAGTGTCAGATTTGCAGTAGCGCTCTGCATCCAATGGATGCCTTGCAAGCATTTCTCTGTCCAGTGAAAGTTTCAAATTTAGACCTTTTGCTGGTGCTCTGGGAAGATTTCATCCTCTAGCTTTCCCTTTGCCTACCATTCCCTGGAGCGATGATTATACTGCCTTTAAATATCTACTGTACTAACAGGGTAAATAAGGGAGAAATAAGTATATGCAATTTTTTTTCAAGGAGAGCTTTGGCTTTGTTTTTGTGGTTATTTTTATCGGGGGGGAGGGGGTTGTTGATTGGGTGGGTTTTTTTGTTTGGGCTTTGTTTATTTGTTTGTTATGGGGTTTTTGTTTGTTTTGTTTTGTTTTTGTCAGATGTCTCTGAAGACAAACCTGTAAAATCTGTGAATCTGCGGGTGCACAGAGAGCAATCGAATATCAAACGAATTGTGCACATTCATGTTCCTGTGCTGGATGTAAATGAATTGGCTGAACGAACACAGTCGGGGAGAGACAGAGATCTGACTCCACTGTTTTCCTCACCTGCTACTCCTGTGGACAACCCAGGCATTTTTCTGGCAACATCCTGTCTTCCGCAGGAGCTTCACGACCCACTCCCGTCTGCTGACACGCGGGCTTCATTTTCTGGTGTTGCAGCAAAAAATGTGCCGCCTGTGCTGGAAATGGGATCTTCCACTATTTAGCAAGGCTTTGCTGAATGAGTCATCAAAGCCGGCTGGTATTGGCTGGGCTGGTGAGCACCCAAGGGATTGCCTGGCAGAGGCTGCGAGGCCTCGCTTCATTCACAGAAATGTGGGGATGCTAGCCAGCCCTTTCATTCACTCGCGCAGCATCTCATTCACATTTTGCAGTCCTGCTGGCCGCTTCTAATGAAGAGAGCCGTTCGGGAGCAGTAGGGTTTTCTGGGCAATAGAGACACGTAAAAATAGGCTATGGTGTGTATATTTGCTGTTGCTGTGCTAGGAGGATGACGAGAGGAATGAATGCTGTGAGGATGCTGTAGCAGGTTTGCAGCGTGGTGATGAAAGGCTCTTCTGCAGATCAGTAGAAAACTGCTTTACATTGACTAGGACATTGCCGTTATTCATCACTGCTGGGATAAGAGGTGCTGACTTAATTCAGTATGTCATGAATATACTAATTAAATACCTGTATTTAAGCCGGCTGTTCCAATGTGTTTGCAGTTTGTATACTGCAGCCTTTTGTCATGGGAGAAGGAAGGAATTCCATAGGCTTTTTTTCCTTTAAGTTGTGCTGTAGTTTGTAATTTATTTTAAAAATTTGCACTATGCAACTTCTTTGGTCTGAATTTGTGTATAATGCAGTGTGTTGTCCTACATCAAAAAATGTTTTGCAAAGCAGATTGATTTATAGGAAAAAGCCATATGACTTGTGACGGGCATTGTGTTTCACAATGCTGTACACATTTGGACTTCTAAAGAAATTGTAGAAGAAGTGAAATACCGGTTTTCTGCATGTTTTGCTGCTTCTCCAGATCAAGTGTTTGTGACTGACATTCATTCTTAATAAAGGCTTTTTTTTTTTTTTTTTTCTCTCACTGCAGGGTGTCAGTTTGCTGCTACCTTTTTAATATTCTCTCAGGGTTTTTTCAGTTTTTCAGAACTGAACCAAACATTCCTGTGAGTTGAAGACCCTCTTCATGTCTTTCTTCGGAATGAAAATCAGTTGTGAAAGAAAAAACGTCTATTAAGCCTGTTTTTGGACATCAGAAAAATACTTTTCTTCACACATAGGTACTTACGTAATTCCTGCATTAAAATAGAATGTTCTTGTGAAGTAATAGGGAAGAAGGATTTACTTCTCTGTCAAAATTTGAATATAACAGTTTCTGTGAGGGGCTGCATTGACAAAAAGGCACTGTTAGGCTGCTTTTGTGGAAAAAAAATATATATAGTCTTTAGTTCTGCTTATCTGTTCTGAGAACCTATAAGGTGTCTGTGTTCTGCTGCAGGGGCAGGAGAGGGGGATTATATGTATGCAAATATTATCCAGATATTTGCTATCTAATTGTGATTTCTTTATAGATTCACAAATATGTGAGGTGGAACATTTTAACAGATGAATAAAGTGTGGTGTTTCATAAAGGCTATTAATTCAGTTTTAGAGGTAATTGCCTGTGGTACTAAAAGGGTGGTGGGAGGGGATAGGAATTAAAGGTTGGGAGGAAGTATCTGTTTGAGAAGATAGGAAAAGGGAATTTGAGAATTGATTGGTGCTAGTGTGCTGTAAGTGGGTGGATGTGGGTTTTTTTTTCCTTCTCTCTCCTTTTTTTTTGGCTACAGGAAGTGATTTGCAGTGTTCACAGCCCTTTGTTGAAAAGGGTCCTTCTCATTTGTGTGAGTCATGCTTTTGCTGTGAGCGAGTTGGCAGCTCTAAGCAGGACTGAGATCTCAGTCACAGAAAACTGTTACTTCACTCAACCTTAACAAGGAACCAAAAGAAATTTCTTAAAAATATACATTTTTTCATTTATGCTTACACTCTTTTTCTTTTTTACCCTAAATTCTTGTTAACCCTCCGTGCCGTTATGAATTGCTTGCTATGTTAGTACAAGCATCTCCTGCATTGGCATCAGATTTGCCAGAACATATGCAGGAAAGCAGATAGAAGGGCATGCTTCAACGTACCAAGTATAACCGCTTCAGGAATGATTCTGTGACATCTGTTGATGATCTTATTCACAATTTGCCCATGAACAGCAAGGTCTCAGCAGTTGCTACAACTTCAGCTTCACCTTCGTACCTGGTCTCACCAGAGGTTCTCCGCAAGGACCAAGAAGATGGACCCACCACCCTGTGTACCCTCATCCATAAAGTGTCCCACTTGAAACTCTCTAGCACGGGCAGCCTTTTGGGTATCAAAAACCTCTCCTCTGCAGTGAAGGAGCTTGCTGTCTCCAAATTGCAGGGAAGCTCGAGTGCTTCTAGTTCAGCAGCAGGGGCTTCAGACAACACATGTAACCTTGTCTCTGCCACTTCGTGTTCTCAGCAGGACGTGAGCAAGATGAGTATGGGGAAAAAAGCATGGTCAGAGGAAATGCACCTGGGAAGTGAAGATTGGAATCAAACTAGCAGTTTTGTCAATAAATCCTCTCGAGGATGGCTGCACTCGAGTGAGAAGATCCTGGGACCTGGTGTGACGTACATTGTGAAGGTTGGTCTGTTTTCTTCCATTCTCTGTTTTTATCAATGAAAAATTCTCTGCTGGTTTTGCTGACAGGATAGTCAGGCTGAAAGGATCTCTATTCGGTTCTTTTTTTTTTTGGTGCATAATACATTAAATGTAAATGCAGGAAGGAAGGGTTGGGAAGCTGAGTTAATTTGTTACATTAAAGCAAACCTGCAAATATTGTTCTACAGCAGTGTAAAAATCTTGTTCCTAAGCTAAAAGCTGATTTGATCTGGGTTTTTTAGCCTTCTTCTTAATTTAGGTTTTCAGTGTTATCTAGCATACTGTATATATCTTGGATACGTAGGCTTTCAATATGTCTGGTGCAATATACAGGAAGAAAGAAAGACTCCTTGATGCGAGGAAAGCTGTTAATCATGCATGAATTTTTCAGTTTTAAAAACCTCTAAGGGCAAGTGTTTTTTTAAAGTGAAATGATATTTGAAATCTTAGAGCAGTAAGGCAGAGAGCACAATTCTTATTCTGTTTCACAATTAGAAATAATGTGGGTAGAGCAGGAAAATGCAGCTTGTTTTACATAATGAGCATTCAGCCACTTTAAATGTTATTGCTCTTTTCAGTTCATTGATACAGCATGTCAAGAGCAGAGGATCTTAAGTTTACAGGGTAAACTTAGTGTATCCATATGCTTTGAAAATATTTTGAAACCACCTGTTAAAGTAGAGATTTCGAGATAAGTGTATGTACAATGTTTTTTGTAGTTAGATAAGAGTCTGGTTACACCTTTCAGCATAGAGTGCAGAAACTGTAAAAATGACATGATTGTCCAGAATTCATTCTTCAGTTGCCATATTTCATTTGCCAAGAGGCTTTTGTATCTTAAGTGTTAAACTGCTTTGCAGCAGGCTATTAATGTTACAGGTCTATTTTTAGTGTCATCTTATTTTAGGTGTAAGAGTCACAGGTGACTTTATTTCGGGATGCTTTAAAACTGAGTGACACCCTTGCTACTTAACTCTCACTGCTTTTTCTCAAGTCTTATTATCAAAAGCAGAGTGCATATTTAGCTGTTGGGAGACTAGGAAGCAGTTTTCATTTCTTTGTGTTAGTGGTGATAATAGATTTAGCAGGTGGTGGTAGATTGAGTAAGTTGGCCGATTCAGAGCACTATTGAAATTGCACTGTCTTTTTTACTACTCTGATATTTACTGGGACTACAAAGGAGTCAGTGCTACCTTTCAAGCCACAAACTGCTGTTCTGTTACTCTTCAAGAAATGTCTCAATAAAAAACAAAAACAAAAACCACTGATGCTAGGCATAGTGGTCTTGGGACTCTCATGTTCTTCTGTACAGAAATACTCTGTACAGAAGAAAGAGTCATGTACCATTTTCACATTTGCTCAGGAAACTCAACCATTTTACTTTTTCTTTTGCTTAGAATAGTATAAGCCCAATAATGACTGTGTGAATACACTGCTGCTGTTAGTTTTACCTGAAGTGATCATTATGAAAAAGAACAAACACAGCATTCAATTTCTTAATCCTTTCAGTAGTTTACCTACTATACGCTAGAGGAAGCTGATATCTTTGAATTGAAAAGAGAATTAAAGTTATAGAGAAGTGGATTAACATTTACAGTTAGTAATAAACCCTACCTAACTGAGATAGTAGAACAAATATTTAATTAGTGAAATTGATGTTGGGTACATGAAAGTGTATTTATACACACTGTGTATATAAAAATTTTCAAAATCAATCAAACAACTTACTTTTAGGTGTTTGTTAGTCATTAAAATGTATGAAATCTAGTTTATTGTTTCTGTTAAAAAATAGGACAATTGCTTTAACTTTATGGTTTCTGGCATAAGAATCACAGAACAGTGCTCTAAATGTAAAAACACAGATTGAAAATAGATAGCAAAATAAGTGGTTAATGAATGAATGAAAATAAACTGGTCCTGATTAGTTCCTAATTTGCCTGCTTATTAACTATCTCAGTTTTCCTTGGCAACTGCAGCATCCATATGGATAAGAATAGAAGTGCAGTTCCCAAATCCTTAAACATTGTTTGCTACCAAGGCTTTTATCCAATCAGACCATCAAATCAATACACAGATAATGTATACTGAGGGAAAACATTCCTTGGATACCTCATGGCTATACTGACTGTCTGGGGGACTCATACCATGTTTAATTAGTACCATATGCCTTTCAGAAAATTTCATATGCCATTTGTAAAATGAGACAAAAATTAGATTTGTTGTTAACCAGCAAAGCCTTTTTTTTTTTTTTTGGGCAAATGTGCACTGGGTTAAAATTTTCTCATTAATCCACATTTAAAAGAGAAAATCTGTCATAGGACAGGGTTAGTTGTAACTATTGGGCAGTTTGATAGCTCACATTGGAATCTTATGAAGTAAGAGACACAAAATTCCAAAATTCCTATGTGCAATGTATGAAAAATCTGAAATTTCACTGCTGTTTCCACATTTTTACATATTGCTTATTTTTAAAATAAGCAGTGTTACACTAATGCGTAAAAAGGGTGCAGGTTTATGGTAAATTGTAGCTATATTCTGATCTCCATGGTCTGCTGCAATGGAATTGTTTTCAACCATAGAAGTGCTGGTGCTTTCTCAATCTTTTACTCCCTGTGGATTTCCTGTTGCATTTTTATATATTATAACATAAAATTTTTCACAAAAACAGCCGCAGAAAACATTTTAGCAACAAATTAGAAATGACCATAACCATACTGGGAATATAAAGTAGTCAGGTACTGATATCATACTTAATTCTACTGCTGGATTATTTAACAAATAATGAATTAATGAAAAAAAAAAAAAGGCAGTAGTTTGCTGTGCTGGAAGTCTTTAAAGTGCTTTCCCTGTAGTGGCACTGATTACTGCAAGAAGAGATTATAAGTCTTCATGTTGTCAGAAAAACAAAGACAGAATAAAAATAGTGTAAAAATGCCTGAGTAATGTAACAACAGCTAAATGTTTCAATGCAATCTGTTGTTTCAAATGATAAATATCTACTGATGAGTATCACTGGTTAATATTATAGACATTTTGGAGTTTGTTTTATTTAAATAAGAGCACAAAAGTCAAAAGGCAAATGCATTTTTGTCTTCAGGTAACTTGTGGCTGCATTTTGTAACAAGTGTCAATGAGTTTAAAGTGCTGCTGTTCAGCAGTTCAAAACCAAAGAAACCAAAAGTACTGTATTATTTTATATGCCTTTATGAAGTGTGTCTGAAAAAGCCAGTAAGATTTAAAGCCAACTCAGTACTATAGAACAGACCTGAGTAAATCTAGTGTTAAAAACCAGATAGAAATATAGTATCTAAGAGAGAGGAAGGAAAAACTATTTCATCCAAAAGAATCACTGCAAGTCAGGCAAAAAATATTTCAATTAAAAGGACATTAAATCATTATTATGATTATTATAATAGCAAAGTATTCAAAGAATATAATCCTAACTGATATTATTTCTTTAACATTCTAACACTTTCATTCTCTGTGAGGGAATAACAGCAGTTTATATCTGATGTGGAAAACAGACATCATTGTGAAGCTGTTCAAGCACATCACCAAGTAAAGGCTACAGTTCTGCAAACATTCCTGCATGACACTGTTTACAGGAGCATTCTCATTGAAATAATTGAGGCTACCTTTGTACACTGGAAGTTAAGTGTGTGCTTAGGGATGAACTGAATTGCTGTGTCTCTTTAGTGGCTAACCCAGACTGTAAAGCACAGCCTTAAATGGAGCTAACAAAGTGGAAACTGCGTCATATGTCACCTTCCCCTAGAAGACTTCAGGGCTCTTTGGAAAAATGTTTCTTTTTTTTTTTCTTTTTCCTAAAAAAAATCAAAAACATTACAGCAAAGCTTTTTAATTTCTCTTCTTGGTTAAATTTATCTTCTTTATAGAAAATAAATTTTTGCAAGTTTGCTTGGGTTTCTTTTAATCAGATTTAATTTCAACTTTTGTCAGTCAAATTGAGGTAGTGCTGTTGGTTAATCACTGATCATTTGGCATGGCCTGACTAAACACATGCTCAGTAGGATTTTGTGCATATAATTCTAATAAAAAAAACTCCAAACCACAGTCCCAGAGCATCCTGTTTGTAATGAGGTTTACATGTTTAAGAAATGTGTTGTGTGTTTCAGCCATATGGTAATAATAGGATAGAATACTGACTTTTTACTTCAGAGTCTGCTACCCTCAACCCGGGTACACAAACCATGTTAACAAAGACTAATGAAACTGGCTTATCACTATGGGTTTTAAAGCTGCCTGCATGCAGATTAGGGGAGAGAGAAGTAAGTGACAAAGACAGCATTGGTTTAAGTAATTAATCCCTCCTATTGTACCATATTCCTGGGAGATCAGTTAGTATCCTTTCCATTTTCCTTCACTGTTATTTGAACTATGAAAGAATGATGTTGATGCCTGTTGCTCTGTTGAAAACCTTTCTTTTGATCTTCATGGACCTGAACTACTGTGGGTCTGTTGTACAGCCCAATAATAGGAAAAGAGCATTTCTCACAGAAATTAGATCAGATTCTAAGAGCAGGAATCATACGATAGAGTCTTTAATTATAATATTATTCTAATTACATGAATCAAGTACCATTACTGTACTATTACATTTGCACCCTTTTTTTCTTTCTGCAGAAAGCAAAGCATGTATTGATTTCAGAATTGAAGGATTCAGCTGTCAACATGAATGTCTGTTCCCCAGTACATTTGCAGTGTTTACATGGAGTATTTTTGTTTAAAACAAAAATTATACTCTTGCTAGTTATTTATCCTGCTAGTTATGTGTGTCCTACAGTTTTAAAATCCCTAGATGAATTTAGCTGGTCACTGTAAGAGGTAAAATTGCATTCAGGCAGAATTCCTTCTCTGTTTTTCCTTGGAAATTTGATTATTTTTTTCTTTATTTGTCTTCCAACAATGTTTAGAGCAAGCATATCATGTGCCCAGTGTAAATATCTGCCACTACAAACACA